CACTTCAGTTATGAGGCAAGATTGGAGAAGGTGAGACTGTTTCTCTTGGAGAGGAGATTTGATAATAGCTATCAGGACCATAAGGGGTCTGAACAGAGTGAATAGGGAGAAACAGTTTCCAGTCAAACGGCTTGAGAACCAGATGGCACAGTTTTAGTGTTTTGCAAATGCGAGCTGCGAGGAAAAAAAATACAACTTTCACGCAGTAAGTTGTTAGGGTATAGCATGCATTGTTTGGAAATGTGGAGCCATTTTCAATTCAAGAAGGTATTGGACGATTATTGAAATTGATGCAGTGTTAAGGATTACAGGGAAAAAGTGGGAGATTGTTCCCAAGTTAAAATGCTCAGCAAGTCACTGCAAAAATGATGGGCTGAACGGCCTCCTTCTGCATCACAAGTTCCATGATCTGTGTTTTAGAGAGGACATTAACTGGAGCAATAAGACTGAAAATGGCAGCATTGGTGTCAAAGAAGCTTGAGGTGCTGATTGACATCATAGTCTGACTACTTCTGCTCTGAATACTTCTGGGGATCCTGCTAATATCATCACCAAGATGTTGCCTGAGGCATGGCATAGAGTGAAATCTGTAGCCTTGAAACCAGATGTACTACAGAGCCCAGTTTTGAATCTTGCCACCAGCATAAAAGGTGAGCATTTTATAAATAACACTTGCGAAATCAGAATCCGGTTTGCCAAACACTGACAAACCAAATGTTGCTAACTCATTGAAGTTCAAGTGTATTAAGTGAGGAGTATGTAAGGACTACAAAAATTTTGTACAAAACCTTTTAAAGGCTATCATTACAATGGTTGGTGTTTTTTGTTATTGAAGTATTACTTCCTACAAAGAAAAATGCAGATGGTATTTCAACCATTCAGGACATTGTGATTAACTATTTTCTGTAGGTTGCAATCCTCTTGATTTTTAAGCTTTGCAGTTTATTTCAATGCAAGCGGCCTCACAAGTAAGGCAGATGAAATCAGGGCATAATTGGGAACATGGGATTGGGATATCATAGCAAATACAGAGACGTGGCTCAGGGATGGACAGGACTCGCAGTTTATGTTCCAGGGTATAGCTGCTATGGGAACGATAGAAAGGGGGGCAAGAGAGGATGTGGGGGTGGGGGGGAGTGGCATTTTTTTTTTATCAGGGATAACATTACGACTGTACTTCGGAGGATTTTCATGGGAGTACATCCCAGGAAGTAGTTTGGGTAGAACTGAGAAATAAGAAAGGGATGATCACCTTTGTTGGGATTGTACTATAGACCCCCCCAATAGTTAGTGGGAAATTGAGAAACAAATTTGTAAGGAGATGTTAGTTATCTGTAAGAATAATAGGATGATTATGCTAGGGGATTTTAACTTTCCGAACATAGACTGAGAAGGCCATAATGTTAAGGGTTTGGTTGCGGAGGAATTTAAGAGTGTACAGTAAAATGTTCTGATTCAGCATGTGTATGTACCTACTAGAGAAGGTGCAAAATTTGACCTACTCTTGGGAAGTAAGGCAGGGCTAGTGACTGAGGTGTCAGTGGGGGATCACTTTGGGGCCAGTGACCACAATTTTATTAGTTTTAAAATGGTGATGGAAAAGGATAAGATTGGAGCTAAAAGTTAAAGTTCTGATTTGGGGGAAGGCATATTTTGACTGTATTAGGCAGGAACTTTGAAATGTTGATTGGGGGCGGATGTTCACAGGTAAAGGGACGGCTGGAAAATTGCAAGCCTTCAAAAATGGGATAACGAGAGTCCAGAGACTATGTATTCATGTTAGGGTGAAGGGCAAGGCTGATGGGTGTAGGGAATGCTCGATGACTAGAGAAACTGAGGTTTTGGTTAAGGATAAGAAGGAAGCATATGTGAGGTATAGACAGTAGAGATTAAGTGAATCCCTAGAAAAGTATAAAGGCAGTAGGAGTATAATTAAGAGGGAAATCGGGAGGGTAAAAAGGGGGCATGAGATGGCTTTGGCAAATAGGGTTAAGGAGAATCCAAAGGGATTCTACAAATACATTAAGGACAAAAGGGTAACTAGGAAGAGAATAGGGCCCCTTAAAGGTCAGCAAGGCCACCTATGTGTGGAACCACAGGAGATAGGGGAGATAATATGAGTATTGCATCAGTATTTACTGTGGAGAAGGATCTGGAAGATCAAGAATGTGGGGAAATAAATAACGACATCTTGAAAAATGTCCGTATTACAGAGGAGGTGGTGCCAAATGTCTTAAAATGCATCAAAGGTGGATAAATCCCTGGGACCTGATCAGGTATACTCTAGAACTCTGTGGGAAGCTAGGGAAGTAATTGCTGGGCCCCTTGCTGAGATATTTGTATCATTGATAGCCACAGATGAGGTGCTGGAAGATTGGAGGTTGGCTGACATGGTGCCACTATTTAAGAAAGGTGGCAAGGAAAAGCCAGGGAACTATAGACCAGTGAGGCTGACATCGGTGGTGGGCAAGTTGTTGGAGGGAATCAGAGGGACAGGATTTACATGTATTTGGAAAGGCAGGGACTGATTAGGGATAGTCAACATGTTTGTGTGTGGGAAATTGTGTCTCACTATCTTAATTCAGTTTTTTGAAGAAGTAGCGAAGAGGTTTGATGAGGGCAGAGCGGAGAACGTGATCTATATGGACTTCAGTAAGGCATTTGACAAGGTTCCTTGTGGTAGACTGGCTCATAGGATGAGATCACATGGAATACAGGGAGAACTAGCCATTTGGATACAGAACTACCTCGAAGGTGGAAGACAGAGGGTGGTGATGTTGGGTTGCTCTTCAAACTGGAAACCGGTGTGCCACAATGATTGGTGCTGGGTCTGCTGCTTTTCATCGTTTATATGTATGATTCGGGTGTGAACATAGAAGGAATGGTTAATAAGTTTGCAGATGACTCCAAAATTGGAGGTGCAGTGGAAAGCAAAGAAAGTTGCCTCAGAGTACAATGGGCTCTTGATCGGATGGGCCAATGGGCTGAGGAGTGGTAGATGCATTTTAATTTAGGTAGATGTGAGGTGTTGCATTTTAGAAAGGCAAATCAGGGCAGGACTTATACACTGAATGATGAGGTCCTAAGAGGGTTGCTGAACAAAGAGACCTTGGAGTGCAAGTTCACAGTTCCTTGAAAGTGGAGTCACAGGTAGATGGGATAGTGAAGGAGGTGTTTGGTATGCTTGCCTTTATTGGTCAGTGGATTGAGTAAATGGTTAGAAGGTCATGTTGCAGCTGTACAGGACATTGGTTAAGCCACCTTTGGAATACTGCATGCAATTCTCATCTCCCCGCTATATGAAGGAGTTGTGAAACTTGAAAGGGTTCAGAAAAGATTTACAAGGATGTTGCCAAGATTGGAAGGTTTGTGCTATAAGCAGAAGCTGAATAGGCTCGGGCGATTTTTCCCTGGAGCTTCAGAGGCTGAGGGGTGACTTTATAGAGGTTTATAAAATCATGAGGGGCATGGATCGGGTGAATAGCCAAGATCTTTATTCCTAGGGTGGGGGTGCCCAAAACTAGAGGGTAAAGGTTTAAGTTGAGAGGGGAATGATATAACAGGGACCTAAGGGGCAACTTTTTCACACAGAGGCTGGTGCGTGTATGAAATGAGCTGCCAGAGAAAGTGTGGAGACTGATATCATAAGATTTAGAAGGCATCTGGTTGGGTATATGAATAGGAACAGTTTAGAGGAATATGGGCCAAATGCTGGAAAATGGGACTAGATTAATTTCCGATATCTGGTCAGCATGGACGGGTTGTACCAAAGGGTCTGTTTCTGTGCTGAACAACTCTGACTCTATTGTAAGAGCCTTGTTAAAAAGATCAGATTTGTAGAAATTGTTTCTGCATGGATTTAGGGAAGGGTGCTGTCAAATATGGGAATGCTGAAATACCATCATGGAAGTATTTTCACAATGACCCACCTTTTACAGCACAGAAGGCAGCCATTCAGCCCAACCCGTTTACACTGGCTGCCCCTTTCCTCACCTCATAGCCCCATCCATTATTTCTTTTTAGATAGCACTGTAATTTCCTTTTGAATGCCTTTATTGATCCTACCTGCAGCTTGCACTCAGGCAGTACGTTCCAGATCTTTAACCACTCTCAATGCGAATATGTTAGTCCTCATGTTATTTCTACTTTTGGCACTTACTTTAAATCTGTTCCCTCGTACTCTTGATCCTTTCCTGAGTGGGAACAGTTTGTCTCTCCTTTGTCCAAACCCCTCACTATTTTAAATAAATTTATCAAGTCCCTCTCAGTCTTCTCCATAAAAAAGGTCACCTCTCCTATCAATCTTTATAACTACTGTTCCTAATCACTGGAACCATTCTCATAAAGCTTTTCTGCACTTCCTCCAAGGGCTCCACATCTTTCCTGAAATTTCTATGTTGCTCATGTCCTATATCTTTAATTGTCTACTATGTGACACTGATTCAGTTTCTTTTGGAAATCTGTGTATATAACATTACCTTATCAGCCCTGTCTGTTCAGCGATTGATTTTAAATACAATTTTTCCCTAAAGTCCCTGCTGGCTTTGTCCGTTTCTTTCCCCCCTCATTGATTCTTCAAAGAGTAATTGTAATCTTTGTTAGTGCTGTCCGTCCTAAGTAAACTTCACTATTGCAGTGCTTTGAAGAGTTGCACAAGTAACTTGCAGCTCAGTGTGTTTCTCACAAGGGAGCCCACAATCAGGGAGGCACTTTTCACGAATCATTAATTTGTGGCAAATTTTCACTTGCAATGACATTGCACATCAAGTAAGCAGTACGTTCTGCAGGGTATTCTTCTTGTTACAATGAGGTGGTTACTCTGTCAACTTAATTGCAAACTACCTAAAGTTTGTACTTTACTATGAAAATGTGGAATCGTGTTTGAATGGGGTATTTTCAAATAAAGATTTGTATGTTTAGTACTTGATGAAATAAGGCGACATTGCTACATATGTTTAAAATTAGTAATCTATTCTATAACATTTATTTTTCTATTTCAGCTGTCATATCCCGAGCACAAGAAGGCCCAGGTGAAATGGGAAAAGCAGTCCTTATTCCAAGGGAAGATCAAGAGAAAATGAGGGACTTGTTCAAAATCAACCAGTTTAATCTCATGGCCAGTGACATGATTGCATTCAATAGAACTCTACCAGATGTGAGATTGGAAGGGTAAATTTCTTCTGATTTTGAATGTGTTGTTTTCCCTCAATAAAATATACATTCTGTGGTCCAAAGAACAAATCTGAATTTAACTTTTGTTCCACTTTGGGTACCCTTGCGTTCATCTTTATATCGATGTCAACTTCTATTTAGCCTCTTTATGCATGAAAACCCAATTTCCATTACTTGGTTGAAACTGTTACAGAGAAGGGAAATGTTGCTTGATAGTTCAAGTTTTTTTTATTCCTTTTGAGTCATTAACTATTTAGTTAATGTTTATTTATATATGATGGAGGTGTCAAGTGCTTAAAATTTCTGTTGTTGATGCTCAAAAGGTTGATTGTCACTTTCAAAGCAGCACTTTTTAAGAGAGTTAATGGCTAATTTTTAAAGCTTTTTCATTCATCATTATTACTATAAGGTTCATTGATGTTGTACAGAGTAAAGTAGGTCAATGGGTTTGGAAGACCTTTGAATTGGCATGGAGTTAAGGGGGGCTGTTGGGGCTGGGTGGCAGCTGAGGCTAGTCTGAATCTGGAAGAATATGTGGCATCATTGGAGTATGCTGGAACAGCATTAATAGTGTATCAGGTCATTGGGAATAATTGGAGTGAGTAGGTTGGCATGGATGATTTGAGGGACCATTGTGTGTGGTGGCATATATTGGCATGGCTTGCTATTGATAGGATGTGGAAAGTGGTTGGTGAGGGCGAAGAGGCTTATGGAAAGAAGACTAGAGCGTTTGTACTTTTGGGGAAAAAAAAATCAGCTGGGTGAAGTACTAGAGAGTCAAGACAGGTCGTATAACCAGTCCTTCACCCTTCAGCGCTGGTAGCTGCTTCTACTGTGTCTTGAGGTTAAGGCCAGAATCTATCCTCAATTCATGGAAATTTCTCAAATTGAGCTACCAAAATCTGTTTAAATCTTAAAATTTTATTTTATTTGTAAATGCATCAAAGTATAATTACATGCTCATCAAGACATCCAGGAAGGACACTTTCTCACATCTTTTTGGCATCTGCTTCTATTGATCATCTAGAGATCAGGTATGATCAGTGTTACAGCCACATTTTTAAATTAATTAAAATTATAAGCTTCTTTAGTGTTGTATCTGATCCTAGGCTTTCATTATCTTATTGAATTACAAAGTTGAGGTTCTCACTTATACTTTTAAAGTGTCCCTCTCTTTCCTATTCATTGTCTTTCAGTTTTTTGTTACAATCTATTCCATCTATTTCTGTTTCCATTATTACAAGCATAGATTAAAAGTCAGGAATAGGAATTAATCTTTTGTGCACTCATATTTCAGGCAGTAAAATGAGACATGTTTTACCCATTATACAGATTTTGCACTACGAGGATTTTCAGGCAAACTGGGTAGGTTCCTTTAAATAGATATTGTTTGCATATGCTAATACTTGTTTGGGCACCCGTCAGCAAAGTGAAATTGTAAGGATCAGAGAGTAGAGTATGTGGTGTGTTCCAGTATGCTCCACCCTGTTCTTGGTGTGAGAAATCCATCCTATTTACTATCAAAAACTAAGGTTCTTTTTGAGAGAACCTTTCAGTGCAGTTTGAAATAGCAGAAGTGCTTCTTCCAACTCCTGAGATATAAGGACTGCTGGCAGCTCATGATTGTACCTCACTACGCTATTGTGCTGTCAAAACTCTTGCTGCCAAGCCAGTCAGTCCGACAGTCCAAATTAGACTGCCACTAATGGGAAGCTGAGTCATGAAGATGTGATAAGTGCGGGCAGTTTACTTTATTGTTATTCTGAAGCCTGGTTCCGAAATGACCCAACATGAATTTCAAATTCCAGTGCCAATTTATCATGTTAGTCTTATCTCTATGAGAGATCTGTTAGACGTTGGAGTAGTAAAAGCACATTACTATATTTAAGACTGCAGTTTTGTCATATAGTTGAATATCATGGATGAAAGATTCATCTGTGTAGCATTGCTTCTAGCAAATCATTGGAGAATGCTGTGCAGGTAACAACCAGGTGCTGCCTGCTCATGGGAATTGAGGTAAGTGTTTATGTGCCATTCTGCAAACTGATTTTTCCCTCATGTATTTTTCTGCCCAGGAAGTTGTTTCATTTCAGAAATGGTGATTGTGATGTTCCATCTAGATAATAAAACCCATCAAAATGCTATTGTTTTCTACTTTCTTGGAGAGAGACAGAAATGTAGTTTGTGCCAATTTTATAGCACTTTCTCCATTATATTATACTGGTGTTGATATTTCAATGAACTGTATGAAGTTTAATGTAATAACATGCTTTATTGTCTTAATCTACATATTAAATTTTAATTGAAGTTGAGGAGTAATACTGTATTTTATGTATGCTTGACCATTTATTAACCCTGATTTTCCACAAATTGACCAATAATTTTTTATTGAATATAGAATATTTATTGATAATTACTTCAGTTATGATGTGTATATTAGCCATCACTGCAAAGTACAAACTCAGGGTCACCATGTGCTTATTGCTGTACCTTGGCTTCGTTGTGTTTTAAGTTGTGATCCTTACAATCTGTAAGTAATATACATTTCCCCATTGCATTGCTTATTTTAGTACCTGTCCCACACATCTATCAGTTGGTATTAAACAATCACTTAACACTTCGTAAACCAAAAGCTCCATGCTTATTTGTCCTAATGGTTTTCTGGGTTTAATTATTTACAGAATACAAAATGTACAGGATATTACATACTTGGTACTTCATGAAGTTTAATCTGACATATGAAAGATTTCCTACAAAAATAAGATGTGGACATGATTACCTTCATTGCCTTTCAGAGATTTATTGGGTGTGCTATTGAGTTATGTAGTGCCACTTTTGATAGCACTGTTGAAGTTGACATCTCTGCAGAGATGAGTAACATTTTAAATGAGCTTTGATCTTAAAGCTACTAGAGAGATCACAGTTGTTAAAGCACAGAAGGAAGCTGTTTGTTTGGCCCATTATGCCTACAAATGCCATGAGCATTATGATCCAGTGCCATTCTCTATATTTTCCCCAAATTCAGCATATTGTTTCCATTTAAATAATCATCAACTACCCTCTAAATGCATTAGTTGAAACTGAAAGAATGATATAGCAAAAATTCGTGTTTTACTGTGACAAACAACTGTAAGACATTTTTGATGAAACATTACTTTAGTTAGCAACTTGTACTTAGTACTTACCATTTAGTGATGGGGTTAGTAAGGGCCACAGTCAATGTGGGACCATAGCATTGTGAGTTGAAGGCCAAGTGTGTTGCTGACTACTATTGGAAATTTGGTTAAAACTGGAAATTCAGTGCAAAGGAGTGCAGAGGTGCTTAAACTCCAGTCTACTGCAAGAAGTAAACTCTCCAGAGTACAATGTGAGTGGAAGAGAATAAAAGATATGAATTGAGAGACTGACCTGCATGGAGACTAATAGTGGACGTGACGTGAGAGCGGGGAAGAAGTGATTAGGAAGCAAGTTTGGTGAATTCTTCTTTGACTTTAAAGTAAAAGTAAGGTCTTCAGTTTGTGTTTAGGTTTGTACTTTTTTTCTTAAAAATAACTGCTTAAGTATTAGATTGATGCTCGTGATTTTTTTCTAGTTTATAAAAACACTAGTGAAGTGTAAAGAAAAGGTAAATAAAGTCAAGGAGTTAAATGCATGGCTCAAAGATTGCTGTGGGTGGAATGGGTTTCAGTTTATGGGCACTTGGAACTAGTATTAGTGTAGAAGGAAGCTGTTCTGGTGGGATGGGCTTCACTTGAATTGTGCTGGGACCAGTGTCCTGGCAAATCAAATAACTAGGGCTGTAAAAAGAGCTTTAAATTATAAGGTTGGAGAGGGAAATGTAGCTTACAAAGCAAGAGGATATGGTAACATTATGCGGCAGTTATTTGGATGCCAATAACCAAAATTGGAGAAGAAGGGACGTAATTTACAAACATAGAAAAACAGCAGTAGGTTCAAAAGTAGAAAAAATTTGTAAAAAGGCAAAACTAATAGTTCTTTACTTGAATGTGAGTAATCACTAGAACCAAAATGAACTATTATCTGTACAACTACAGGTTAACAGATGTGATCTTATACCCATTCTAGAGATATGAGATCAAAGCTGTGAGCTAAATATTTGCGGGTATGTGACATTTTGAAAGGACAGGCAGGAAGGAAAGTGTGGTGTGGTAGCATTGTTGGTATGAGGCAGACTAAGTATGATAGCAAAGATTGGTCTTGAATCTGAAGATGCAGAATTCAAATGTTGGAGGTAGAATTAGAAAAGGAAAGAAGGTTCGGTAGAAATAGGCTGTAGGCCACTTAAGAGTAGCTACATAGGGAGACAGAATAATCGGGAGATACTGAAGGCATCTACAAAGGCAGTACATTAATCATGATTTACTGTAATTTTCATATAGATTAGGATAGTCAGATTGACAGAGGAAGACATGAGGAAGTATTCAATGTATGTGGGACAATTAGTTTGAGGTGTAATGCACTTTGGCAGGAAGAAGAGGTATTGAATATTATTTAAATGGAGAAAGGTTGCAGAAAGCTATGAAACAGAAGGGTTTTGGAATTCTCACCCAAGTTCAGGTAGTAGAAAAAACAAATGGAGTGTTGGCCTTTATATCAAAGGGAAAAGAGTGTAAATGTAGGGAGGTTTCGATAAAACTGTGCAAGAAACTTGTCAGAACACAGCTGGAATACTGTCAACAGTTTTATTTTTGTCCTCTTATTTAAAGAAATATATGTTGGCATTGGATGCATTCTAGAGAAGTTTCACTTGGCTGATACCATAATGTGGAGAGACTGTCTTGTGAGGAGAGGTTGAGTGGATTGGGCCTGTATTCATTAGAACTTAGAATGAGAGGTGACTTTATTGAAATATATAACATTCTTGGGAAAGTTGACAGCATAGATGTGGAAAGATTGGTTGACACATGGGAAAGCTTAGGACCAAAGGGCATACTGTTAGAAAAAGGGGGTCACATATTTAAAATGGACATAAGAAG